CCTGGGAATGAGGTGATCGCTTCCAAGCAATTAAAACAAAAAAAAAGTTTCTAAAATAAATTTTGTAAATAGTTCGTAATCATTTATATTGTAAAATTTATTTTAAAAAAAAAGTCCCGCTGGGTTTCTTGCTGGTTCTTCCCAGGACAGAGGGTTTTTTCGAACCAGTGGTAAAGTAAAAAACGACTTTCAATAAGAATTACACATGTAATGTATATTGAATAAAAAATATTCTATTCTATTCTATTCTATAACTTGCCGTGTAGTGGCGGTCAAGAATATCCACTACCCCATATCCTCCCGTGGGTGTCGTAAAAGGCGACAAAGGGAAACAGGCAGGAGATGGGCAGCAGCATCTTCTTGATAACAACAAACTAACAATAAAAAAAAACTGCGGTTGCCAACCCGCTCGCCAAGCGTGGCAACTATGGCAAATACCCCCCTAAGAATGACAGTAACAAAGAAACGGCCCCCAGTCCCCGGCGGCCCCGCTATTCCTGGCTACGGTGGCGACCATGGTAACGGCGGGGCAGGGGGTGCTAAGAATCTCCGGTGGAGGTTCGGTTGCCACCTACGACGACTCGACCTGGCAACGTACAACGCACGCACCCTGAGGACTGACGAGAAGATCGTGGAGCTGGAAGAAGAGATGGACAAGTTGCGCTGGCATATTATAGGATTATCCGAAGTCCGAAGAGAGGGGGAGGACACGGTAATCCTCGAATCCGGCAACTTGCTCTATCACCGGGAGGGCGACCATCTGTCCCAAGGAGGTGTCGGATTTATCGTCCACAAGTCTCTCGTTAACAACGTTGTAAAGATCGGGAGTGTGTCGACGAGGGTTGCGTACCTTATACTCAGAATCACCAAACGGTATTCGCTGAAGGTCATACAGGTTTACGCACCAACCTCGGCACACCCCGATGAGGAGGTGAAGGAAATGTATGAGGATATCTCTAGAGCCATGCATTCCTCCAAAACCCAATATACGGTGTTAATGGGAGACTTCAATGCAAAACTAGGCACAAGAGAGAACGGTGAGCTGAAAGTAGGGAAATTTGGAATAGGGCAACGGAACCCAAGGGGCCAGCAGCTGGCCGACTTCATGGAGAAAGAGGGACTCTTTATGATGAACTCTTTCTTCCAGAAGCGGCCCCACAGGAAGTGGACCTGGTCGAGCCCCGACGGTTCGACAAAAAATGAGATTGACTTCATTATGACGACCAGACGACAACTGTTCAGTGATGTCTCCGTGATCGCGAGGGTGAAAACTGGTAGCGATCACCGAATGGTTAGAGGTACACTGAACCTAAACGTTAAGTTGGAGAGGTCTCGTCTAATGAAGTCAACGTTCCGTCCCCCTCGTGCTCTAATCCAAAGTCCCGAAACCTTTCAGATCGAGTTACAAAACCGTTTTCAGTGCCTAGAAGACTGCAATGAAGTGGACGATATGAATGACAAGCTCGTGGAAACTGTCCATGCGGTCGGAGCTAAGTTCTGCAAGACCCGCCTCAAAAGAACACAAAAACTCTCCGATCACACTCTTAATCTCATGGCTGTTAGACGGGAGATGAAGCTACATTCTTCAACAGACTTGACAGCATACAGGCATCTGAACAGACAGATCTCCAAATGCATGCGGCGGGACATACGCAACTTCAATACAGCTCGTATTGAAGAAGCGATCGAGCGGAACCAAGGCTCCAAAGTCTTTGCCAGAGATCTGTCTGCCAGTAAGAGCCAACTGTCAAAGCTGAAGACAGAATGTGGCAGCATCGTTTCCGGGACACCTGAAATTTTGAGTGAGATTGAGAGGTTCTATGGGCAGTTGTACACGTCATCGTTGGAGCCACACGCAAGTGTGAGTAACGATCCAAGAGCGAGTCTCATCCGACACTATTCCGAAGATATCCCGGACGTCAGTCTGAGCGAGATTAGAATGGCTCTCCAGCACCTTAAAAACGGTAAGGCCCCAGGCGAGGATGGAATTACAGCGGAGCTTCTGAAAGCGGGTGGAAAACCGGTACTTGAAGTCCTTCAGAGGCTCTTTAATTCCGTCCTCCATGGTGGCATTACACCGGAGGCGTGAAGCAGAAGTGCGGTGGTCTTGTTCTTCAAGAAAGGTGACAACGCTCTCTTGAAGAACTACAGACCGATTTCCCTTCTGAGCCGCGTCTACGTGCTGTTTTCGAGAGTCATTACGAATCGTCTTGCGCGCAGACTTGACGACTTCCAGCCTCCCGAACAAGCTGGTTTCCGAAAGGGCTTTAGCACCATAGACCACATACATACCCTTCGGCAAATTGTACAGAAGTCCGAAGAGTACAATTTGCCACTATGTCTGGCGTATGTGGACTATGAGAAAGCTTAAGATTCCGTCGAAATTTGGGCGGTGCTGCAGTCCTTTCAGCGGTGCCAAGTTGACTGTCGGTATATCGAAGTGTTGAAGTGCTTGTACAGTAGGGCTACGATGACTATCCGAGTACAGAACCAGAGTACGAAACCTATCTAATTGCAGAGAGGTGTAAGACAGGGTGACGTCATATCCCCGAAACTCTTCACCGCTGCATTGGAAGACGTTTTCAAGCTTCTGGACTGGAAAGGATACGGTATCAACATCAATGGCGAGTACATCACTCACCTTCGATTTGCCGACGATATAGTCCTTATGGCAGAATCGCTGGAGGACCTAAGCACTATGCTCAATGACCTCAATAGTGTTTCCCAACGGATAGGTCTTAAGATGAACATGAACAAAACTAAGATCATGTTTAATGTCCATGTCACACCTATGCCGGTAGTTGTTGGGAACACTAAGCTCGAAGTTGTTGACGAGTATGTTTACCTGGGACAAATAGTCCGACTAGGTAAGTCCAACTTCGACCGAGAGGTCAGTCGACGGATTCAACTCGGTTGGGCAGCGTTCGGGAAATTACGGCACATCTTCTCGTCAGGTATACCTCAAACCTTGAAAACGAGACTGTACACCCAGTGCGTGTTGCCAGTGATGACATACGGAACTGAGACGTGGTCCTTCATTGCTGGCCGGATGAGGAAGCTCAAGGTCGCTCAGCGAGCTATGGAGAGGACTATGCTCGGAGTTTCTCTGCGTGATAAACTTAGGAATGAGGATATCCGCAGTAGAACCAGAGTAACCGACATAGCCCAACGGATTAGTAAGCTGAAGTGGCAATGGGTCGGCCATATAGCTCGAAGAACCGACAACCGATGGGGAAGAAAGGTTCTCGAGTGGCAGCCTCGTACCGGTAGGCGAAGTGTAGGGCGTCCCCCCACGAGATGGAGTGACGACCTGGTAAGACATGCAGGAAGTCGATGGATGCAGGTGGCTCAGGACCGTGCTTTGTGGCATTCTTTGGGGGAGGCCTATGTTCAGCAGTGGACTTGTGAAGGGCTGTAATGATGATGATGATGATGATGATTTATAACTTAAAACCACACTAATAACAAAACACAATTGTACTACAAATCACTTTAGTTCGGAGTTGTATCGCTTCGAAGTATTCGCTTGTATCGCCAATACAATACTACCTCGTTTTAGACTTGTGTAAGTAATGCGATTTATGTAAAAGGCTTATAGATAGCAATTCTTTCGCTGCTCCAATGATAAAATTTCGAAATGAGCTAATCTTTCAGAGTATCTGCGAATTGTACGATGAACGCCACTTACATAAGATATTTTATTTAAAAATCTTTTTTGGATTCCTTCTATACGCTGAATATTATTTTGATAAGACGGGTACCATACGACTGAACAATAATCAACATGACTGCAAACCAGTGAAAAATAGAAAACTTTTAACGCTAAAACCGACTTAAAATCTTTGTTATTTCTGAAAATAAAAGCTAACATTCTTAATGATTTGTTTATGGTATTGTTAATGTGATTAGTTAATCGCATCTGAGAGTCAATAGCCACATACATACACCATTAATATTGTAACTACTATTATGTTTGTTAAATTTTCGAGAGAATTTAATGTGATAGCATTTATTTGTATTGAGAGACATTTTATTTTGCCGGTACCATTCTGTAATTCTATTTATATCCTCTTGAAGTCGAATTTGATCTGTGTTATTATTTATAATTTTGGATATATTTAGGTCATGTGCGTATAATTCAAATTCGGAGTTACGGATACAGTGCTTAATATCATTGATAAACATAATAAAAAGTAATGGGCTAAGGTGCGAGCCTTGTGGAACTCCAGACGTTGGGATAATTTCTCTAGAAACAAAACCGCTAATGACTACTCTTTGTGTTCGATCTGTGAGATATGAAGCAAACCAATCTAAAAAGCATCCATGTATGCCAAATAATGTGTGTAGTTTGTTGATTAGAACTGAATGATTTACTGTGTCAAACGCTTTACTAAAGTCATTATAAATAGCATCTACTTCATTCCCTGAGCTCATTCTAGTAATTGTTGTCAACAAACGTAATAAGATTGGATGTAGTAGAGCGTTTATTAAAAAAATCCGTGTTGTTGATCAACTATAATATATTTTATATAATGTTGCTTCTATTGACTTTGCCTGCTTGTAAGTCCGTCTATTGAATTTCTATGCTGCACTAGTTAAAAGGTTTTGAAAACCTTACTTGTTCATTAATTGTCAGTGTTAATATATACTTAACATAAAATGTAAGTATTTACAATGTGTTTTTCAGTAACTGTGCTAGCTGCTTTTTTTATAGAATAAGGGTGACAAACGAGCACAAAGTCCGCCTGATGGTAAGTGGTTACTGTAGCTGTAGCCCATAGACATCTACATCTATCTAACTAAGGTGGAATTCCTCGTTACCAGCAAAAAGGGTCTCCGGTTCTCTACACTCACCATATGAAACACAGCAGCGTTAAGCTGCTATTTTACCCGGGTATTCTGTGAGAGCGTCGTCCTTCCCCGAGCGAGCCGACCCATTCGTGCTACAACTTACTACTAATATAGCTGCAGCATGGCTTTAATACGTAAAATAATTCCAGGTTTTCGTTGATGTTAGTGACCCAGTGGGACGGATGCCTCTCTTGTTGGGATCTGTTGCGAAGGCGAAGCGCGCCCATAGTGACTGCGCAACTCTGTGATGAACCACTCTTACGTCTACGTCCACATGAAGGAGTAAGTATATATCATTTATACAGCCTAGGCATAAAAAAAACACGAGGCAATGGATAAGTATATACTTTTCGTCAATTTCATTCGTAAATTATGATGTCATTCTTTGATACTTCGATTTTCAACTATGGCGACAATTTCCGAATAGTTAGATCTGAGGTAACTGATACACGGGGATAATCACAATTTTCTTGTATCAATGTACTCTGTGATCACAACCCAACCACCCGATAAGCAACAATGTGTTTTTTAACAAATGTTACTACCGACACGGAATCGAACCTGAGACCCACAGCATAGGCTAAAATTTGTGCTTAATGGTTGTAACATATTTTAAATTTAAACTTGTTTTCCCTCAGGGACTACTAGTAGCATGTGGTAGCAGCAAGGGAACTATTTATTTAGCAGAACTATCACAAAATCTTGGAACGGCCGACAAAAATGACAAACAACTTCTCACACACGTAAGATAAATTGTGTATGATTATTTTATGGTATATCTAAATGAAAATGCTTATTTTAAAAATGATTATTAAAGCTGCACTTGGTTTTCCTCTTGTATTCTAGTTTCTTTGAAAGCCAATACGCATACCTGAATGAAAGTCGATCACGGGCCATTAGTCGAAAATAAAACATAACTAATGATTTTACTATTCCAGATACTAGAACGAGAAAACAAACGTGAACGTATTCTGGAAGCGCGTATGCGAGAACTCAGATTGAAAATGCGACAAGACCGTGACGGTGGACAGGCTCAAGTAACAGAGAGTGACGCAACGAATAACGAGAGAGATCTAGAGGAAGCAACTGCAGAATACAACCAAACTATTAACGAATTGATGGCCCAACGAAAAGTCCATTAAATATTGAGCAAAATTGTTATCTTTTTCTTTGCTTGTCTATAATTTTAAGGTTAAAGTCGAGTTAATTAAAACAGTGCAACACTTACAAAATACTACCCTTAGCCCCCCCGCGCACTAGGCAGCCTGGCTGCGGCAGCCAGGCTGCGGCAGCCAGTCGAACATATGACGGTGTATGGGAGCCCGCGCACCAAGCAGCCACGAACTCGCGGCTGCGGCAGCCATAAAAGCGCGTCCGATTGCACGGCAGCCCGTTGGCTGCGCGCAGCCAGAGCGAGCAGGGCAAATGTATGTGGCTGCCGTCAGTCACCGCGCACTTGTCGTAGCAGCCAGGCGTATTTTGTGTTCAGAAATCACAAAATGGCTTTTGACAGTGAGAAATTTATTCGTGAAATTGAAAACCGTAAAGCAATATGGGATATATCTATGGGAGTATCAGTGCCCTTGCTTGAATTTCTTATATTTTCCAAAAGTTTATCAAATGATTGCACTGACATTCTCGTGTAGTTAAAAAACCGGTATGGGTATTCACGAACATCTTTAAAACAGATATGAAATAAGCCTTTTGAGTGCCGTTCCAGAAAAAAAGGATGCATCGAATGTCTTTAGCTTGGAGTTTTTTACGAAATACGCACAAAATTACAAGTTCTTCTACGTCCATATCCCTCGAAGAAACGGTCACAACTCGCCGTCCATTGGCTGCTTAGAAGTGGCTGCTCAAATATTTCGGCCGCCGCAGCCTGGCTGCGCAGCCAGGCTGCCTAGTGCGCGGGGGGCCTTAGTATAAGCAGGCCTGTCTCACTCCGCGCTTTAGACATGAAAATAAACCTACGCTGCGCGGCCCCGCATGCGGGGCTATTTCCGTAAGGTTGTTACGCGCCCGCTCGAGCTGAAGCGCGCCTTACGTTGTTAACATAAAAAATATTTTTCTCTGAGAAGTATTTAGGCACTTTTGATATTTATTTTTGAGTTTTTATTCAGGTATGGCCTCTCAAAAAGCCAAAAGGTACTGCATATAAGTATATACCGAAAGGTAATATATTATTATATATAGGTAGATACTAAATAATTAGGTGGTTAGTTACTGACGCCATAGTTACAGATTTATTATTTAATTAGTGACCCGACCACAGCTTCGCAGTTTTCGATTTTTTCGCGTATAATGCCAATGACTAAAAAAATCGTTCAGTTTAATTAGACCTCCCAGTACTAGTAACTACCTACTAATGCAAAATCAGCATATACTGGATATTAGTTTAACACTTGGTCGATAAAAGAAAGAGATTGTAAGTAGCAGTACTTCTCATTGCCACTCTTTCATTAATAATGAAGTCGCGTGTCACATGTATGTAAACAGCAAACAAAATTTAAACAGACAAGTGACGTCTCCGTGGCGCAGTGGTTTAATAATGAGTTGCAGCGCTAAGGGCCGCGGGTTCGAATCCCGGACGGAACAAGTATTTGTATGGCCTACAAATAATTGTTCTGGGTCTGTTCTATGTATGTAAACTATCCCTGCGATACAGGATAAATCCTAGTGTGGAGGTAACTAATGAAATTAAAAATTTTGTACAACCGACTTCAAAATTAGTACGCATTATTAAGGATAACTCCAAAACTACTGGTCAGATCTTGATCTAATTTATATCGGAGGTATAAATTATAAGCAACAGCTTTGAAATAAAAATAGAATCATCAAAATCGATTAAATAATTAAGTTCTGAGATAACACATATAAAAAAATACAGTCGAATTGATTACTTCCTCCTTTATTTGAAGTTGGTTAAAAATGGTATAGTAAGTAGGTAAATTATTGAGTTTCAAAGACGTTCACATTGTTATAATCTTAATTTTCCTCGATGTTGCATATTAACCTTCCTCACATTGAACAATAATTTTTTTTTATCAGCAAATTGATGGCTCCTTGGTGCAGTGGCTTAGCAATGAGTTGCAACGCTGGGTCACGGGTTCGAATCCCGCACGGAACAAGTATTTGTATCATCATCATCATCATTACGGCCCTTCACAAGTCCACTGCTGAACATAGGCCTCTTCCAAGGAATGCCACAAAGCACGGTCCTAAGCCACCTGCATCCATAGACTTCCTGCATATGTCTTACCAGGTCGTCACTCCATCTAGTGGGGGACGCCCTACGCTTCGTCCGCCGGTACGAGGCCGCCACTAGAGAACCTTTTTGCCCCATCGGTTGTCGGTGCTTCGAGCTATATGGCCGGCCCATTGCCACTTCAGCTTACTAATCCGTTGGGCTATGTCGGTCACTCTGGTTCTACTGCGGAGATACTCATTTCTAAGTTTTGTATGGCCTTCAAATAAATGTCTACGATGTCGATGTTTGTCCTTGTGCAATTTATGTTTGTTAACTGCCTCCACGATATAGGAGAATAGATCACAACTGCTGACACTACTAGTACGTGTGTAACATTATATTAAAAGTTAAAGTTACAGTTGTCCCATTGCTGGGCACAGGGCTACTTTCACTTCTGACAGGGTTTTAGGACAAGGATGTGTCCACCGCACTGCCCCAATTAGTGTTCGCGGACTTCACATGTTTTCGAAAATTTCAGTAGAGCCATGCTGCAGCTATATTAGTAGTATAGTTGTAGCACGAATGGGTCGGCTCGACCGGGGAAGGACCACGCTCTCACAGAATACCAGCATAAAATTGCAGCTTAACACTGCTGTGTTTCGTATGGTGAGTGTACAGAACCGGATACCCTTTTTACTGGAAAAGAGGCATTCCATTTTAGTCCTCACGGGTGACAACGCATCTGCATTTTGATTCGCAACGAGGATAGATGTAGATGTCTATGGGCCACAGCAACCACTTACCATCAGGTGGACTGTGTCCTTGTTTGTCACCCTATCCTATAAAAAAATGCAAGTTTCCTCACGATTTTTTCTTTCACCGCCGAGCACGTGGTAAATCAGCACTTAAGATTGCAAGTAACAAATTCATTGGTGGCGGCGGGGATCGAACACGGGTTGTTCGCGTACATTAACATATTACCTAGTCAGGTCATAAGTATTATCACACAGTAAAAACTTTTCTTTTAGAATGCTGCCACAAAAAAGTTAATTGAATTCGAATTTCGAATTGTTCATGAAAATAAAACTGTATACTTTTTAGAATTTTACTCATTTTTAAATATGGAGTGGACGCTTAAAGAAGACCGTGTTGCAGTTATTGCGTTGCATCGTTGCGGTTACGCGCCAAATCAAATTTTTGACATTCTAAAAAATTTGAATATAACCAAAAGATTCGTTTATCGTACCATCAAACGATACAATGAAGACTCTAGTGTAGATGACAGGTCAAGAAGTGGTCGCCCTCGGTCTGTTAGGACTCCAGCAGTGATAAAAGCTGTGAAGGCGCGAATTCAAAGAAATCCCAAACGTAAGCAGAAACTGTTGGCCCTTCAGATAGGGTTAAGCAGAACCACGATGAAAAGGATGTTAAATGAAGACTTAGGGCTTCGGGCATATCGAAGAAAAACAGGACATCGTTTGAATGCTCGTCTAATGGACCTGAGACTAAAGAGATGCCGCGCTTTGTTGAAGCGGTACGCGGGAAAAAAATATCAGGAAATTCTTTGTTCGGATGAAAAAACTTTTACCGTAGAAGAGAGCTACAACAAAACAAAATGATAAGGTGTACGCACACAGTAGTGAAGAAGCGAGCAACCGTATTCCGCGTGTCCAACGAGGTCATTTTCCATCCTCGCTCATGGTATGGTTGGGAGTTTCTTATAGGGGCTTAACAGAGGTACATTTTTGTGAGAAAGGTGTAAAAACGAATGTAGTTGTGTATCAAAATACAGTCCTGACGAACCTTGTGGAACCTGTTTCTCATACCATGTTCAATAACAGGCACTGGGTATATCAACAAGATTCGGCGCCAGCTCATAGAGCGAAGAGCACACAAGACTGGCTGGCGGCGCGTGAAATCGACTTCATCCGGCACGAAGACTGGCCCTCCTCCAGTCAAGATTTGAGTCCGTTAGATTACAAGATATGGCAACACTTGGAGAAAAAGCCGTGCTCAAAGCCTCATCCCAATTTGGAGTCACTCAAGACATCCTTGATTAAGGCAGCCGCCGATATTGACATGGACCTTGTTCGTGCTGCGATAGACGACTGGCCGCGCAGATTGAAGGCCTGTATTCAAAATCACGGTCATTTTGAATAAACTTTAGTGTCCTAAGAATCTATGTTTTGTTAAGTTCATTTTGGTATATAAATGGTTACATAATGAATAAACTTGTTTCAATTATTTTATATTAAACATGTGACAGAATTTATGACCTGACTAGGTATATTACTGCCGACAAAACCTTTATATATGTATGCTAGAATTTTGGGATTTTTGATTACAAAAATATTTCTATCATTTATTACTCATAAGCAATAAATTTGTATAAAATCCCATACGGAACTTCCAACAAAACCACCAAATAAAGTCACCCATTTCGAAAACATTGCTCAAAAGTACCTAATATATATTTGAAAACTGTTTAAATGGTACTTACGCTAAAATATTTGTCGGGCGTTTCTTTAACCCAATAGAAGTAATTGCAGACACATTACGGCTCTATGCTATGGTTAAAATATTGTACTGCTTCCTATCCCACTAACACGAGACATTCAACACTGACTATGAGACAGTCAATGTAATGCAATTATTTACGAATTGTTGGTCATATATCACTAACAATTATTATCAAAGAATACTGGCCGTTATTATGAAAAAATATTTATGTGACAGTCAATAACAGTGAACAGCTGGACAAGCAAAGAGTTTGACTTAAAGGTCTGATACCATAGTATATATATTCTTACTGCTTCTCCTGAGCATGTTGTGTCACACAGACAGTTGCCTGCTTTGCGGTTTTCGCGTCACGACTACTAATTTAGTGATACGCTTCTTATAAGCTCAAACCCCCAAAGCGCTCTTGTCCCTTACTGCCTGTACGCAATTTCTATA